TAAGAACCATGCGCCAACATGGGACTTGACGTATCATTCTTTTTAAATGATCACGTAAGATTAGGCTAGTGGATCCACTAAGCAAAAGTAAGGTCCTATATCACGGCAAGGTATAGGATGGTCCTCGAGCAACGTGAGGTAAGACGTTGTATCATCACTAGGGCTCATAGTGGTGGTTGTCGGTTAAAGAACCTCCCACAAAGGTTATATTACTTTAAATAATTAAAGTTGAGTTTGTTATTATTTTATCATTAACGAGTTAAGTTGTTTACACTATTTTACAAGCTAATTATGTATTGCATGTGTCTTATTGCTTTACATATTTGAGTTTAGTTGTTCATGAGTCAAACAGAGTCAAGGTAAGTGTTCTCTTGTACTCCGTTCAAGCTTAAGTTGTGGTTCAGCTTTCCAGCTCGCATACTCGTACATTCCATGTACTGATGTCAGTTGGCCTGCATCTTGTTATGATTTAGCTACACGTACCCCGAATCAGCATCCTGCACGTCGTTGATCTAGCTGAGCACTCCAGAGTCAGTGGTGAGCCTCCTTGCATTCCGGAGGACTCAATTATTTTGTGTACTTAGTTTTGTTCTATTAGGGTGTTGCGGGGTCTGTCCCAACATCCATCTCAGTATATGAGAGGCTTCATAGACAGTCAGTCAGTTAGTTTTGAGTCTCTCTTCTATGTATATATGTAAATATCTATTTTGAGATTCGAGATGCCCTTGTGGCTAGACTCTTATAAGTTAAGTTGTTGTGTAAACTTGCATTACTTTAAGTTATTCTGTTGAGTTAGGCTTCTGCTGAGTGAAGAAAGTCAGGCCAAGGGTTCACTTGGGGCCAGCAATGGTCTGCGAGTGCCGGTCCCGCCCAGGGTGTAGGCTCGGGGCGTGAAAGTTTCTCTCATGGGTCTTCAACTGCCTAGAAGCATATGCAATCACCTTATCCTTCTGCATCAGAACACCACCTAACCTGACTCTAGAAGTATCATAATAAACAGTGAAGTCCACACCCTTTTCGGGTAAAGTCAAAATAGGAGTCGAAGTCAACAAGGTCTTGAGCTTTTGAAAGCTCTTCTCACACTCATCAGACCATTGAAAACTCACACTCTGCCGAGTCAATCTAGTCAAAGGAGATGCAACCCCACATACTCTTCACATTATTCCACTGAAGCTCACAATATCATTATTAACAAAATATCATAATCACTTAGACCATTTACCTTACTCTCATATCGTCACTAGTATCAAAGTCTTCTTAGCAAACACATTGTCACCTCCAAAAATTTTGAACTATGGCTCCCTCACTTTCCAAGCATTTCATGACAGATACGGTCCCCTCCTAAGGTTGATAGCACTAATTTCAAATCTTATAGTACCTTCCAATTAAGATCTCTATTAAATCACCCCACAGTCAAGTTCATGCAAACTTTCACATACCATTTTTCAACTACCATTCCGTATCATCACAAACCTCATGCCAAAACTCAGAGAAATCCTTAGTCACTCCAATAATTATATATACTATAAGCTCATAACCTCTATTCACCAATGTCTATGTAACGCATCATAACAATGTGTGTAGTCCCATCAATAGAGTCGGCTGACTCCCCTTGAAATCCTCAATAACCATGTAGAACTATAGGTCCATACCTTTGTGCATCCATAAGTCATCTACCATAACTTGAACAATCTAGCCCCACACAACAACGCAAAATCTTCCACGCATCTCCATTTGTCACCCAAACAAAAATCCAATCTCCATAAAGTCGCTAATAAACTCCTAGTAAATCTGTGCCGAACTAGTTCACAGATTTACAAAGGGTAGTGTGAACAAATATTTATTGTGCCTTATCGGAAAGATCACAACTCTTTGGAAAAGTTACAACCCTTCGGAAAGGTCACAACCTTTCATAAAAGTCACAACTTTCATAAAAGTTGCAACTTTTCATAAAAGTCGCAACTTTTCATAAAGTTAACAACTTTTCATGAAAGTTGCCACTTTTCATGAAAGTAACAACTCTTCATATTTATTTCACACCTTTTAAAATCCAACAATGTGTACTTCATATATCAATTCAAAGCTCTAATAAATGACATTGACCTTCAATCTATATTGTACCACTCCTAGACCAAAAAAAATATCAAATCACCAAAGGTAAAGTAAGATTATGGAGAAATGGTAGATTAATGCATGCAACAATGCAAGTATACATAAGATTAAAGGAGAACCATTCACAATTCCAAAATTAAAAAGAAAATTCTCAAGGTATAACTGTTATATATACATCTGAGCCAACTAACTCACGTAGTTTGGCCCAATATTTCATTCTGGTACCAGTTGGTTAAACTAAGTTTGGCCTAATATTCCTATCTGGCGATCAATTGCTTAAGTAAGTTAAAAGGGGGGCTGATATTTATACATATGGAAGATTTGGTGGAGGCTTACTTTGTAATATGGTGGTGATGGTTGTGAAGGTTTCTGAGAAGAGGGAAAGACTATTTTTGAAAATAAATAAATTAAAAGGAAATCATAGTTTGTGATGGCTCCACGTAGGCGGGCCTAGGATTCTCTTTATTTATATATATATATGATTTTCATTCAAAAGATATTCAGGTCAAATACTATAAGCATTTGGTGACTCACAATTTACCTCATATTTTAATTGTAAAAGTTCATATTTAATGTTCTAAAAGGATAACGTCTATGACATGCATGGAACATGAAAGATCAATCAGTTACAATTGCAATAATCCCTTAAAAAGAATATGAGCAAATGTCATAATAAGGAGACAACATGCTCTTAATAATCATATGTCATAACACTTCATGATCCTCAAGAGAGGTTTTGGTATCTAAAAATAATGAAATGATGAGATCTCAATTAGTTATGTCTCATTATGAATCGATACAAAATGATATCTCATTGACGATGTCTTTGATATGATGTAATGCACAATATTATAAAAGATTGTGAGGATTTGTGTTCTACGACATAAAGCTCTATATGACTTGCAGTGGAGACACCAGGAGATGTCATGCCTTAAATGTTAATGGATATTATCACTCGAATGATACATCTTGATAAGTATAAAGCTTATTTGACATGCAGTTTAGACACCAGAAGATGTCATGCTTTAAATATTAATGGATATTGTCACTCGACAGATTTTATAAGAAAATTTTCAAAGGATTCAAAATACCCAAAGCATTTACAAGTTTTTGAAAGCTTTCTCATAATTCTTATATGAGATAAATCAAGTAAAGGGAGATATGACCCGAAGTGTGACACTAAAAGTACCAACAATCTTATATGAAGACAATGTTGCATGTATAGCCCAATTAAAAGGTGACTATATAAAAAGAAAACAAAACAAAACATATTTCATCAAAATTATTCTTCACTCATGATCTCCAAAAGAATAGTAATATTGATGTCCAACAAGTGTGTTCAAATGATAATCCTGCAAATTGATTCACCAATTACCTATCAACTTCAACACATGAGAAGATGATAATACAAGATTGGAATGCGAAAACTTGAATAAATAAATCGTGATCTTCATCAGAGAAAGTATAATACGCACTGTACTCTTTTATTCTTTAATAAAAAAAAAATTCATCGAGTTTTATAATAAGATTTTTAATGAGGTAACACTCAAGGCGTTTTATGAGAGGGCAAAAAACTTATGTATACAACTTAATAATTTTAATTACATGAATATAGCAATACTTTTTTTTTCAATTGAATAGCAATATTTTTTTTTTCAAAACTGGAATTCTTATTTTAAAAAAAATTAAAAACTTTTTCAGCCACAATTATCCATATCCCTTAAATTTCTCTAATTATTTTACTTTCCCTGATTTACTCCAATTTGTTATATATCATATCCCATAAAGAAAGGTTTCCTACAAAAATAAAACTTCTCTTCCAAATTAAGATCAACGATCAAATATGCAGACCAATAATTTTTCAATTTTAATTCATCACAGTGGATGTTGGGACTCATCAGGTAATCTTTTTGGCAGTAATTCCTTTGGTTTTGTCGAATTTGGTAGAATATACATTCATAAAATTTTGGTTAATGTTCTGGTGCAACTGTAAAAGGTTTAATTATTAAATAGGTATTAAGATTTAGCAATTGTTTGTGGAATATTATTAGGATTTTCACATAATCTGTGTTTTAATTCTTTTTGGTATTTATTCGTGTTTTATATTAACGTTTTTGGTGTAATACAACAACATCATATGATTTTTGTTGTAATATGATGAGTCGAATAAGTTTTTTATAATTTTTTTTAGGTTAATTGGTATGTTGCATGCCGAATGTTAACAAATTTTATCAATAGTTTCTTTTGGTATGTGATATGGTGTACACATACCAACTTAAAGTTAAATTTCAGGTACATATTTTTGTGTATTTAGTTGTATTATTTGATATATAAAATCTAACTTCAAAAAAAATAATTAGTTTTTTGGTGTATTTTATTTATCCGAATTGGTGTAGATAATAATTTAAAAATTGGTCATATGTGATCATTTACTTAATCTGGTATGTTTGTTTCTATAAATTGGTGGTAAATTAATACTCTAATCAATGTGTTGGTGTATTTTTGGGTTAAATGTCAGATTACTTTTGGTACGTCGATTGGTGTAATACATTGTATGGTTTAACTGATTGTGTGAATTACCACAAATTGATTTAGGTATGTGATGTGGTAAATGACACCAAAATAATACTCTGATGTATGAGTTGGTGTATTTATTGGTCTAATATATAATACCATAATTTCAAAATAGGTTGTTGTTGTTATTCAACAATTCAGAGTTTTTTTTGTTTCTGGGGTATTTTTTCTTTGGTTTGTTTTGTATGGTTTGTAAGTTAGGAGTAGAAACCAGTTTTATTGATTATGGTTTTTGGTAAGTTAATTGGTAAAATATCGTTAAGTTATTTGGTGAATGTGATAGTTTTTAATTTGTGAACATAATGGTCTGCCAGTTTGGTGTAATTCAGATATTATTAGTGTCATTCAGAGTGGTGTTTTTTGGTACATAATGATGATTTGCAAATTAATTGTATGTTGGTTGAATATTTTAGATTGATAAGGTATTTGGTGTGATTCTGATTTTGGTGTCATTCATAGTGGTGCTTTTTTAGTACATAATGATGGTGTACATATGCAGTTGCAGCTATCAGATACAGAAACAAACACCGCGAAGATTATTGTTTCTCCTATTATAGTAGGGGTGGGCATAAATACCGAAAAACTGAAAAACCGAACCGAACCGAACCGAATTATTTCGGTTTTTCGGTGTCGGTTCTTCGGTGTTTCGGTTCGGTGTCGGTTCTTTATTTTTGGAAGTTCGGTTCTTCGGTTCGGAGTTCGGTGCAAGGGTCCCAAAACTACGGTGCACCGAAGAACCGAAGTTTTATTAAATAAATTTTAAATTAAATTATATTACTTAATTAGTTAATAATGTGAGTCATGTGACCCATTTCAATTTTTATATGACAAAGTAATAAAACACAGTAAAGTGAACCCTAAAGCCCCAAATTCTAAAGTCTAAATAAACTAAACAAAAGTTCAATTCAACTCATCAATTGAAAAGCGCCGACCGCTGTGTCCCGTGACTTCAGTAATCAATCTTCAGTCTTCACTCTTCTCGCCTCAGACCATCGCCGGCGGCCGACGCCAAAAAATGGTACGTATTTCTTGGACCATCGTTGTTGATTTCATTTATAGTTACTTGGGCATGAACTTGCTGCCCTTTATGAAGAATAGAACCAAGATTTTTTGTAGAATTTGTGCAAGATTGCAAAATTGGAGCTATTTTCGATGCTAAAACTTCTTCTGTGTTGTGAAAAACTGAATCTTGGATGAAAGGGGAATTGGGTTTTGGAGAAAGTGCAGCAGGCAGCAGCGACAAATCTTTCTTTTGCTCACTACTTTAGTTTTTTTTTTTTTTGCAGATGGAGAATGACAATAGAATTGTTGTTGGTGGTTCAAGTGATGACTTACCTAATAATAACAATGATAGCAATGACAATAACTCACTTGACAGTGGCAGTGTTGGCACCCAACCTAAAAAGAAAAGAAAAGAAATAGCACCAAGATCCAAAGTTTGGAATCATTTTGATAAGGTTGTTGAGAATGGTATGTGTGGAGCGAAGTGCAGGTATTGTCACCAATTTCATACATATACTTCCATTAATGGTACAACTGCATTGAACCAACACTTAGCAAGGTGCTCTATTTATAAGTCTATTATTGAAACTACTTCTCAATCCAAGATAAATTTCTCGTCTACTAATGCACGTGCACCACTTTGGAAATTTGAACAAGAAGTAGTTAGGAAGGCTTTAGTTGAAATGATAATTATGGATGAACTACCTTTTGATTTTGTAGAAAAGGAAGGTTTTAAAAAGTTTATGAGTCAAGCCCAACCTCTATTTAGAATTCCTTCTCGTAGAACAATAACAAGGGATTGCTATGCACTTTATAGTGAACTAAGATACAATCTGAAAAAGTCTTTTAGAGAAATACAACCAAAGATTTGCCTCACCACTGATACATGGACCTCATTGCAAAGAATAAATTACATGTGTTTGACTGCTCATTTCATTGACAGAAATTGGGTGTTGCATAAGAGAATACTAAATTTTTGCCCCATCTCTAGTCATAAGGGTGAACAAATGGCAGAGGCTATTGGTAATTGCTTGCTTGATTGGAACTTGGATAATGTGTTTTCTGTTACCGTTGACAATGCTTCTTCAAATAGTGTTATGATTACAGAACTATCTAAGCAGTTAGATATGTGGGGAACGAACATAATGGAGGGCAATCATCTTCATATGAGATGTATGGCTCACATACTTAACCTAATTGTGCAAGAAGGTTTGAAGGAAATTGATATTTCTGTCAAACGGGTTAGGCAAATGGTGAGGTATGTTAGATCATCTCTGGCAAGAACAAGAAACTTTGTGAAATGTTGTGAAGTCCAAAAGATAGATTGTAGTAAAACATTGTCGCTAGATGTGCCTACTAGGTGGAATTCTACCTACTTGATGTTGGAAGCGACACAAAACTTTGAAAAGGCCTTTGATAGGTTTGATCTTTTTGATGAACATTTTAAAACTTATCTATCTACTCATATTTGTGAAGATGGAAGTATTGCTGGTACACTTGCATGTGATGATTGGGCAAATGTGAGAAGTGTAGTAAAATTTCTTGAAAAATTTTATGAGCTTACAATAAAGGTTTCAGGTTCACATTATGTTACATCTAGTGTTCATTTTGAGGATATATGTGAGCTTGATGTATACTTAAAATTGTGTCTTACAAGTGAAGATCTTAATTTGAAAAATATGGCTGATGGGATGATAAAGAAGTTCAAGAAATATTGGGGTACTCCTGATAAGATGAACTCAATGATTTATATTGCTTCTGTGTTAGATCCTCGCAATAAATTTGTGTATGTTAGCTTTGGACTTGAAGAACTATTTGGGGAGGAAAACGGAAAGAAAGTAGATAAACAAGTGAAGGCTTATATGGAAACTTTGTTTGAAGATTATTTAAGAAAATATTCAAAAGAATCTCAATATCAATCATCTCCATCTAGATCTACTTTATCGGATTTATCTGATTCATCTAGCTCTTGTTCTCAAAATTCGAGAACAAAAGCTTTGAGAACTAAGCTTCACATGAAGAAACAAAAGGAAAATAGTGGAAGTGGGGCTGCTAAGTCAGAGTTGGAGAGATACCTTAAAGAAGATCAAGAGCCTAAACATGATGATTTTGATGTTTTAAGTTGGTGGAAAGTTAATGCTCCAAGATTTCCTATTCTTTCAGAGTTAGCTCGTGATGTATTGGCTATTCCAATTTCAAGTGTCGCATCGGAATGTGCATTTAGTACCGGTGGGCGTATTCTTGATCGATTCAGAAGTTCTTTGACTCCTAAATGTGTGCAATCTCTTGTTTGTGCTCAAGATTGGCTTAGAAAAGAGCCTAATTCTATTTGTGTGGAAGAAAGTTTGGAATATCTTGAGAAACTTGAACTTGGTGAGTTTTCATATTGTTTGTGTGTTGTAAAACTAATCTACTTATTTATGTTGCTTGACATTTGTTTAAATTATCTTTAGAAATGGCAAACAATGGAAGGGATTCTTGCATTGTTGACGTATGATAACAATTTGCTCTTTTTCTATTAATGGTGAGTTTCAATACTTTATTTGTTTGATATAAGATATCGTTTTGAATCTTAAAATATTCTGACTTCTATCTAAGTTTCTTCCTTTTGGTTTAATTTTTTTATTAGGTTCAAGTTCAACCATATCTCCTAAAGCTCGCTCATTTGTTTTGATTTTGAAAACATTGTGTGGTGGTTCAAGACAACAAAGAAGGGTGTTGTGACTTGTGACTGTGTTTACTGTTTTGTGGTGTTTTAAGTTTTGTGATTTATGTTTTAGAAACATTTGGAAAGTCTGGTAGTGTTGTCTGCCATTGCTACTTTGCTTGTAAAAAAAATAGTTGTTGCCTTTTGGCTGGAGCCTTGATGTTAGCAGGCAACAACTATACAAAATTTGCATTGATGTTATTTTGTTGGCTGGCCGCTGGAGTAGCTAACTAGCTACACAGATTTATTTTGTTGCATTGATGTTATTTTGTTGGTTGGCCACAGGAGCAGCTATACAAATTTATTTTGTTGCATTGATTTGTTGCATTGATGTTAGTTTGTTGGATGTTAACTGGATGTGCTCAGCCTCATGTTTTGAATGTGTTGAAATTTGAATCGTGTATCCAAAGAGATAGTGTTGTTTGATGGTGTTGTGTTTTTTTTTTAAAAAAATGTGTGGACACTGGACAAGTCTTTGTAGACCTGGACAGCCTCATGTTTTGAATGTTTGTTGATTGCCTGATGGCTGATTCTGTCGCATATTGTTGGCTGGCTGCTGGAGTAGCAACATGGCATCTATGCTATAAACAATTTATCATATTGAAAAACTATTAACATTTTATCATATTCCCTCTTTATTTTTATTCACACCGAAAAACCGATTTAAAAACACAGAACTAAACCGAACCGAAGTAGAAAAAACCGAACCGAACCGATCTAGTTTGGTATGAACTATGGTGCACACTTTTCTAAAACCGAATACCGAAGAACCGAACCAAAATTTGATTAAACCGAACCGAAGAACCGAACGCCCACCCCTATATTATAGTAATAAGAATTTTCAAGATACTTATGCAATTCGAATAGAACCATTGCCTTGCGAAAGCACTTGGAATATTCCATCGCATATTTTGGAAGAGGTAATGCTACCACCAATTGCAAGAAACAACCAGGCAGACCACCAAGTAACGACCAGAAGAAGGGATTCAACGATGGAAAATACAAGAGGAGTAAAGTCACTTGTAGTAAATGTGGTACATCAGGGCATAACAAAAAGACTTGCCTTAAATTTGCTTATCAGAATTAACATTGTTGTATTATTCTCAATTATTATTGTTGATGTTTTCTTCCAACAGTTCAGATTTTTTTAAAACTGATAAATGCACTTCTATCCAACTTTGGTTACTCTTGAATTGACATTTCTTTGGTATTCTTTTGTTTGGCATACATGTTTGGTATTCTCGTGTTTGTCATACAATGTTGCATTCTGGGTGACTTAGATAATTGACAACATGTTAAAAAAAATGCTATAACTTATGAGTGAATATTAGTGTAACATACAAATAAATCTAACACAATTGGTGTACTTATCGTGAAAAAAGAACATTGAATACAATTAAAGCTAGTTAAAGTGAGTGTTTGATTTATAATAGACATCATTAACGTAATAATTTGATATGATATTTGAATAATGCTAAATGATATTTAAAATACTGGTTGGTTGTACTATATAATACCTAGAACATACACAATTGGTATAGTTGTTCAAACACAAATAATGACAAAAATGGGTAAATATACTGGCTGATATTCTGGTAATATATACCAAAACATTGAAAATGCTAAAAAATGTTAAAAATAATGATTGGTTGTACTATATAATACCCAGAACATACACAATTGGTATGGTTGTTTAAACATACACAATTGGTATAGTTGTTTAAACACAAATAATAGTAAAAATGGATAAATATACTGGTTGATATTTTGGTAACATATACCAACCTAAAATATTGAATCTGAAAACCAGTACTTAAAGTAAAAGATTTTGGTTTGAATGAAATGTTGGTATTATATACCAACAACATACATAGAATCTTTTAATAACTACTTAAGATATAATATGTAATAATGCTGGTAAATAGTGTTTGACATGTTGGTAGTACATACCAATCTCACACATTGTTATACAATCTATACCAATCACACACAAATTATGTTGAAATGTTCTATTATAAACCAAACTCGGAGTCCTATTCATGACGAACTATGGTGAATCGGATGGTATAGATATGAACTGTAGTGAAAATTGTTCAACAAAGAATGTGGAAAGAAGAAGATGGAAGGGATAAAATTTTTGAACAGAAGAATATGGAAGGGCTTAGACGTTTGGCAGAAAATAAAAATGGTAAAACTTTCCTAGGAACTATAACTCTCCTATTGATAACAACACCAATTTTATTGGTAAAAATAAAAAGTTATATCAAAAAAGGAAAAAAATAAATATGATCCCTATAATAATCAATGAAATGTGATGGAACATTGAAACGTGTAAATATGGAACTGTAATAGGAGAGATAATATTGAAAAAATTTAATATCCCTAATTACTCTCCACGTTAAATGCACGTAATTCAAAAGGCATGAGAGAAGAAAATCTGACAAAATAAATAAACTTAAATACAAAAATTAATTATTTTGTTATGTATGTAATTTAAAAACTATGTTTGTAATTAAATTGAAGTACATTGATATTTTGTTAGTTAAAGTCTTAAGTAGTATACTTTTGTAATTTTCACTTTATGAGATGTGTGTACTTTTTTTCCTTCATTAGGCTATTTCCCACTAAAATTTTACTAATAAATTTTTAACGAAACACGGTACCTATGAATATCCAGGGGGAGAGTATAATGAAATATTAAAATGGTGGATGTCAATGTCCATATGCACTAGTAAACTTGACTTACCAAATTACTTGAGACGGAAATTGATAGTAGATTACAATTGGAAGAATAAGAAAGCTCTTCTCCTTATTTCTATTGCTCTCACGTCGTATTTTTTTAATCTTATTTTGCTTTGATTTTATATATATATATGAGTAGTTATTATCAATGTATGTTGGTAGGTCTTTTAAGTTACAGATACAGCAAAATATAAATTATTAAAAATCGTACTATAATAACTATTTGTCTAATTTAAACGAAGCAACCAACTCCCCACCCCTCCCCTGTTGCAGAGGAATGGAATCTTCCACGTTAAAGCAAATGGATATAAATTATCAAAGTCAAATATCAGCAAAGCAAATTCACCTTTAGAAATTGGAGTTTCAATTTGGGCTAAATGGGGAAAATGTGCTGCTTCTCAGAATCAGATGATGGTAATGACAACTTCAAAATAATCGTAGTGATCGTCATAGCTCTTGTGTTGATGGTCATCTGCCGCTCTCCACCAAGAATGAGAGGTGTCTTGGTTTATCGCTGTTAGATCGATTTTATTTCTCTTTTTTTCTGTTTCAATCCATATTGTATTTGTAAAAATAAAACAGTTGTTGAGTTTCAATCTCCCAATTGTGTAAAAACTTTACCAAAGATGTATGTGTCCCTTTCATGTATTTGATTGAAAAAACAGAGATATTCGAAAGATGAAATGATGTTTGTGTTTCAAATGGTTTCTTCACATCTGTCAATTGTTGCCATTGACAAGAATAGATCATGAAACTCCTCTATCTACTTTCAATTGTTGCCATTGACACCAAATTGCCAGTTGACTTGCAGAAAAGCTGATCATAGGGTCTTAAGTGCCACACGTGATGAGGGGTTAAGAACACTTTCTTTACCTATATCATATTGGTTGTCTCTAACAAACTAAACAACAGAAACAAACACAAGCTCAACTACTACTGATCATGACCGGAAGATTATGCACACAATGCAGTATTGCAGCTTTTTACAAGCGATAACCATCAAATTTACATTTAATACATGCTTCCTTACACTGAGAGATTTCATTATTCACAACAACATAAATATAAAAGGATACATTGTAAGAGAGTTCACAATTATTCACGAGTTTAGTTGAAATATTTACAAAATGATGTATACATGATAGATAACACTAATATTTACTAGTTTGCGTTTTGTACGTTCTGGAATGACCAGGATGTGTATTCAGGTTTAGCTTCTGAGATCTGAACTCGTATCACCTCATGTACCGCACCTCGATGAAGTACCCCAAGAACTTCTTCCTCCTTTCCTGTTGCAAGATCTTTTAAAGACACGGTACGTGTGATTAATTCATCACGCAGGCGAAAGCCAAACAACCACCTCCCAAGCTTCCACCATTGTACACGTACTTCCCTTTGTGAGATATTGCTGTTATTTAGGATTTCCATGACACATTCACCCTAGTAGATGAGAATGAACATCAAATAACTTCAATAAGCTAATTCCAGGTTAAAGAAACACAATTCATAGTCCACGAGAATAGAATTTTACTCAACAACAGATGACCAAGAGGGCCTGCTTAATCTTAGACTAATTCTGCTAGTCTTGGAAGTGTAACTTCCTCCATAACGTAGACCATACGCCTGATACTAGATCACGTTTAATCACTGATATAGATAAACACAGACATTAGTGCCAATTGCACCATCCACAGAAGATGGAGAGAGCACATAACTCGTAAGGCTAACACTAACTGGAAGCAGCTACAACCAAACCGTACTCTGGCTAACCAATTAAATCATTTTCGCTGCAGTGACCACATTTTTACATGGTCTAACTTACAACCATAAGCTATAGATATTAATGTCTAAATTAGCTTCAGTTGCACTAGGTAGGAGTTTTGTGATCCTCAATATAGTATACCAAAATGGTGAGTCCCGCTAAAATGCAGTGAGAGAGAGGGGGAGGCAACATATTAATTAGGTTGTATTTCAGCATGTACATCCACTTTAGGATGCAATATGTCTATCAGGAGAAGAATCAATATTTGTACAAAAGAAATAAATCAAACATTGAACAACACAAGAAAGAACAAATAAGTGAGTGGCCTAAGTTGCGCATACTCTTCACTTTCGATGCCACACCCGTGTTGGATTCTCCAAAAATGAACTACTTTTGGAGAATCAGACACGCATCCATTGATATTTTTGGAAGAGTCCAAGCAACATAATAACTACTTCACTCCAATATCATGAGTTGAGACTTACTGACTTTTTGATACTTCAACTAGCTAGAATACAAACTCAAATCTATTTACAGTGCACAGTTGAAAGTATTCCACCTCCCGCGAAGGACAATAGAAAGTTTTAAACCACGGCAAAAAGACTGTGGTAATATGAGTCAACTAAAAGATCTAGCTCTTACGGCAGCTCAAGCAGTACAACACAAATAAAATATGTCATTTATTTCCAGCAAAGTTCATCATGTAAAAAGATTCAGGTGGTATTAACACTTAATTCACAGACAAAATAAAGAAAAACCCGGTGTTAACAAAAGCAATAAAGTAATGAAACAAATTCGTAGCGAAAAGCAGGGCATTTGATTACCGGCAAACCAAGCCAGATAAGGCAGTAGTGCAAACCAATCAAGTTCAGCAGCACATTGTGCTTGGATTTAAGGAAGAATGTATAGACATCTTCAAACCCAAAAAGGATCGAATCCAGATCTCTTACTGCTTTCAGATAATGCCCCACCTCAATCGACTCAAATGCCAAACAGCGATTGACAAAATCAATTACGCCTTTTGCTTTTCCTGCCATTTCATTGTGCTTCCTAATATAGAATACTCTCCATTCCTGCATTTTTAGGTAGACCACTCTTTGCATCAAGATACAAGGTGACTGACTGATCAATTCAAACCAAAATGGGACAGATTTGGGTGAAATATGCATTTAGTTATACTAACCTCATGGGGCTGGTTATTATAAGACTCAATCTTAAGAGCAAGAGCAGGCCATCTTTTTTTACAAAGAGATTCCCATATATAATCAGACCCACACAGCTCCCACCAAAACCGAGAACAACTTCCCAACGAGCAAAGATCACCTACCTTCAAAAACCCAGAAATCAGAAAGCAAATTAATTCCAATAAAGTAGCAAAATCAGGAAGCTGGAAAAATAGGAAGAAAACAATTTTTAACAAACCAGAAATTCAACATAGTAATTTTTTTAAACAAAAAATATGAAGAAGAAAACGTTTTTCAACACAACCCAGTAATCAGAAAGCCAATTAATTCTAACAAAGTAGCAAAATCAAGAAAAGAAAACCATTTTCAACACTCAACACAAGACAGAAAACAATAAATTCAATTCCGGATAATCTGAATGAGATAGCAAGTAATTTTAAAGGAAACAAGAAAAATTTCCATAACAACCGACTGCCGACAATAAGAAAATGGAAAAATTCAACCTCTTTAAGGAAAAAAAAAATAGGATTACCTGAAGAGAAGAAGCAATTTTGAGGGCAATATCATTGGGAATTGATTCTTGTGAAGACAAGGATGAGTCCATCGAAGCTCAGAATTTTTCTGCTCAGCGAAGCTAAAATGCGTGTCCATTTGGGAAAAAGAGATGATGTTCACCGTCCTGCTACGTCATCAAACACGTGCCATCATCCATAAAATAAATTATTCAACTACACATTTTAATTCTCTAAATTTATAGTAACAAGTTAATAATAAAAATGATTATGTATTTTCTTGTGTTTGATTTTTTAACATCGTTACAGGTTAATGTTGTTAATCTCTCATAAAGTACTTTTCTTTTATAGGAGTCGCACATTAATTTGTCAACTTTATACAAAATAAAAACTTATGAATAATTATTTTAGTCAACTTTGTCCTTTTCTCGATTCATCGTGTAACTGTGTAAGTGAAATGTAATCACTTCTGATTAAGGAAATTTTACCAAGAAACCAGTAAAATTCAGATTGGGCCATTTTTAGGCTTTTAGGTTGTAAAATGAGGAAATGACACATATATACTGGTAGTTATAATTAGCAATAAATAGGCCAACAATAATTAGCATTTAATAGACAAATAAAAAATAAGCACAAAATGGCCCAAATTAATAAATGACATTTTAATAAAAATAAATTTTGTTTTCCTCGTATAACCAATCATCACTAAACAACAAAAATAACGGAAACATAAAAAATTATATATACAATACGTAACCACCTAAAAACGTAAATTATGTATTTTCATATGTTTTTTTAATTCGTTACTTGATAAAAAAAAATTCCAATTGTATACTTGATGATTGTATATAGGTAAAAAAATGGTGTATTCATTCACTTAGTATATTAGTATACAATTATAGCTATGTTATCCCTGCCAGTGTATACATATTAAAAAATCAGTGCATACATATTAAAAAATCAAACACTTCATGTATGCATTGCATTCATGTATACAAATTCGTGTATTCATTCCCTCAAAATTTGTATACATTTCAGATTCTTTATTCAGTGTGTAAATGAGGATTGCACATTAAATTTAAAATGCTTAATAGCAAACACACAAGTTGAATCGGATAACGAGAAGAACTTACATGGCTAAAATTTAGAGTTGTGGATGGAGAATCCACAAAATTAGAATGGGAATCCTTTTTTTTATGAATAATCCTAGGGATAACTTTTTTAAACATGACAATTGATACCTACAATCAATTATTGTTATGTAAGTTTTTGCCTAAATTAGATATACCTTAAATTTCAAAAATTAAAACTCCCAAAAAATTGAATGACAATACAAGAGGGGATCAAACATAGGCTAACAGTTAGAGAAATTGACGAGTAGACATCAACAAACCATAAAAAATTTAAAAGCGGAAGAGAAAAAATAGACACTATGAACAAATATTTTTATAGAACTCAAATATGTAAAACTAATAAACAAAAAGTAAATCATCTTTTAATCAAAGTAATGAAGAAGAAGAAGAAAGAATTAATAAAAAAAAACACAATTCAAAAGAATCATGTGTGTATGGAAAAGAAGATAAAAAATAGGAAGAAAAAAATCACTTCCCAATAAAAAAGGACACCATGCTGCCCACCTTCTAAAATTATTTAGTTTAATTAAAAATGAACTTCCCAATACGTGGGCTACTAATTGCAAAATTTAATTTTCAAAAACTTTTTTTGGTCAAAAAAATAAAAGAAGGCTATATGCTGCCAATTAGTAAAATGGGATGTCATGTTGTGCCATTTTTTCTTGTAAAATTCTGTGTATTGGGCCATTTGTTTTAGGCTTTTTGGGTTGTTAATGGATGATGGACAACAACGAATCATTTTCGGAATCACTATTATATATACTATTATTATATATACTTTCATAATACAATCTTACTATTAATTAAGAGTTTTTTACCATATATTGAGAAAGATACATTTAAATACATTTTTTTCTAACGGATACACTAAAATAAGGAGGAAGGCGAGTGTATCTCAGATACATCCGAGTCACACTAAATACACACTAGATACATGTATTTGTGTGTATTTAGTGTGATTCACATGTATCTGAAATATTAGATACATGTGAGCACGAGATGAAAGAGAGATTTGTCATGTACCCTAGATATATGCGATTTCATTTGAATACAATGTATCTAGAATAAATTATATCCAATTTTGACTCATGTATCTCAAGATACATATATTTGGGCGCACCAAAATTTAATAAGACACATAATATTACAAATTAAAGTGTATTTACATAATTAACTCTTAAATTAATGAGATATGTAAGTTACCGTCATTTGCCCCGAGATAAAAGATCCAAGGCCCAATGGATTTATTGCTTTTGGACAGGATAAAGATTCTCCAGGTTCTCCCCTCCAATTTCAACCAATCATTCTAATTCTAGCATGATGAGCTCAACTTCCATTGTCATCAACCACCTCAAAATTTTATTTTTCTTATTTTTCCTATGAAATGCTACTGATTAAGACCACCAGAATTCTTGGCCAGCATTCAAGTTTCTTGAACTAGTTGAGGAAAATGTCTCTTTTTTCTCCTTCCAGTGGACTCACACTTCTTCAATCAACTAAAGATCATTACTTTAGGCAACTTTTTTCATCTCATTTCATCAATCATGTTCAGGTAAGAACAGTCCCTTATGCTACTCCTTTTCTTTCTGTCAATGTATCTGGAAGACCCTTTAGAGTTAGTTCAAGAAAACTTAAACCCATCATAGCTTCAGCTGCCTCTACTGTTGAAACCTCCAACATTTCTTTCAGAGGTAAAAATCCAAAAGATATCAATGTTTTGGTTGTGGGTTCAACTGGGTACATTGGGAAATTTGTGGTTAAGGAGTTAACCAGTAGAGGCTTCAATGTTATAGCTGTGGCTAGAGAAAAAAGTGGTATTAAAGGAAAGAATAGTAAAGATGATACCTTGGAACAGTTAAATGGAGCTAATGTGTGTTTTTCTGATGTTACCAATTTGGAGACTTTGGAGAAAAGTGTACAAAGTGTAGGGGTTTCAATTGATGTTGTTGTGTCTTGCCTTGCTAGTCGAAATGGTGGGGTAAAAGATTCTTGGAATATTGATTATGAGGCCACAAAGAATAGTCTTGTTGCTGGGAGGAAGTTTGGGGCTTCACACTTTGTTTTGCTGTCTGCAATTTGTGTGCAAAAGCCCCTTCTTGAATTTCAAAGAGCTAAGCTGAAATTCGAGGCGGAATTGATGAAAGAAGCTGAAGAAGATAATGGATTTACTTATAGTATTGTTAGACCTACTGCATTTTTCAAGAGCTTAGGAGGTCAGGTTGAATTGGTGAAAGATGGGAAACCTTATGTGATGTTTGGGGATGGAAAGTTGTGTGCTTGCAAGCCGATAAGCGAGCAAGATTTAGCTTCTTTTATTGCTGATTGTGTACTGAAAGAGGATAAAATCAATCAGGTCTTGCCAATTGGAGGACCTGGGAAGGCATTGACACCATTAGAACAAGGGGAAATGTTGTTTAAACTTGTGGGGAAAGAACCCAAATTTCTCAAGGTGCCAATTGAAATAATGGATTTTGCAATAGGATTTCTTGACTTCCTTGTAAAAATATTTCCTTCGTTGGAAGATGCAGCCGAGTTTGGGAAGATTGGTAGGTATTATGCAGCTGAGAGCATGTTGATTTGGGATCCTGAGACTGGTGAATATAATGCTGAGGCAACACCAAGTTATGGAAATGATACATTGGAGGATTTTTTCCAAAGAGTACTGAAAGAAGGAATGACTGGTCAGGAGTTGGGGGAGCAAACAATATTCTAAATACTCTATCAAAGAAGTCTTAACTAGCTACTCTCCGACAAATCGATTTTGAGGTATGCAGTTTGTCCGGCTGTAGCAGATATTGATAAGTTCACAATTTATTTATGTGTAAATTATACTCTAATATGAATATATGCTACATTCTGGAATGTTAAGCAGCTTACTTATAATGTGCACATATCTCAGTTGTTACTTTCTGTAACTAGTTGTGTCAAATTAGAGAATTCTTTTCCTGCATACAGAATATGGAAACTATCCTGCCATCGAACTGCGGAGTCTAGGATCTTCTAGAAAACAGATGGTGGAGTAGAACTGTCGTTGAACAGTGTTGTCTCAAATTAGAGAGTTCTATTTCTGCATACAAAATATGGAAACTACCCTGTTGTCAAACTGCATTTTATAGGATCTGCTATAGTTAGCCATTTGGTGGTATTTAAGCTAGCAAAAGGTGATTTTTATACCATGTGTGCAATTTCAATAATCCTTTTTCTAGGGTAATGTCTAAGACCAGAATGGTGGAGAGGGAGCCAATTAAGTGATAAAAGGGTGATCTCTCGAGTAGTTTTGGTTAAACAGTTAGATAACTACCTTACAACTCCCCTTGATGGAATTTCGAGCAAACTTGGGAGAGATATAACTGAACTGGGAAAAACCTTCTCCCTTTCAAGCTTAAATTTCTAATGAGCTGGAGTGATTAATTATGAGACAATTGGATGTACTCAAAAGGTGATGCTTATTTGATGTCTTTCTGTTTTTGATTAGATCTTATTCTCTGATAATATATACTAATAAGTATTGAAACAACTTTATACGAGTTAACTAATACACGTTGTTTTTAGGACTGGTTATTGCAATCACGGTTGACTTAATTTGCCTGCAATGACCAGGTTTTGTTGGTTTAAGATGAGGTGTTAAAATTGAGGTAGAGTACATAGAGAGCATTTTATCTGTAAGACTCATGCTTGTTATTTGGTTCTGACTAATTAGCAATTACTAATAAGGTTCCCTTCTTCGTCATCCTTCTTTTAAGTTTTCTCTCATCAGTTGGTGCAATATATGTAATTGTAGGTGGTATTTACTTGTCTTATGCTTCCACAAGTATATAGCAGGGTTCCTGAGCGAAAAAGATAAGGGTGATATGTGCCCCGTTACACTCCATAGGATATTTAAGATTGTTTATACTTTTCACTTGAAGTACTTCTCTGTTTGCTATCTTAATATAATGAAACTTGCATCCTATAAAGGTTTACTATTACTCTGGTTTGTCTTATT